CTGCAGCTGAACGTCGTCGTTTAGAACAAGAAAGAGCTGCAGCTGCACGCCGTCGTTTACAACAAGAAGAAGCAGCTGCAACAAAAATTCAAGCATCATATCGTGGTTTTAAAGATCGTCAAGCATTTAATGAACGTAAACGAAGGTAAATCTTCACTAACTATTTATTGAAAAATAGAAAATTCTTTAACTCTAGTTAATTATAATTCTATAAGTGTTATATCATATTTCCTACCTTAGCTCACTGTCAGGTCATATCGCACTTTATTTAGCTTTGACCAATAAACCAATAAGGTAGGTATTATAAGTTAAGATTTGTAAAGAAATCTTGTCACTATAATCTTAAATATAGATATTGAACATTCCATCCATCGTACCTGTTAAAAAAACAGACGATGTCAAAAAAACGTGATTAGAGAAATAACTTTTTTTTTTTTTATTGTGCATGATTCTTTACTGTGTAGTTTTGATTTTTTCTTTCTTTTTTTTTTTTTTTAAATTTGTTCATACATTCCGACTCATTTCTTCAGTGTTATCAATGATGATTCTCGAATGTTATCATCAAAATCTCATACAACAAAGAAAGAAAAAGTAAAAACGAATGAGGAGGAGACTGATGATATTGATCATGATAATAATGATCATCACTTATCTCACGGGTTAGTGTGATTATTTAGATTTTGTGTACTAATTATTGATTGATTATTTTGTGTGTGTGAATATATATAATTGCTTGTTTGTTGATTTGATTGCACTCTTGTTTTGTATGATTGCAAAGATTTTATATAAATCGATACAATATTCTCATATTCTTACTAATTACTTAGCACAAACAAGTTGGATCGTGTAATGGAAGTTGAAAATAAAAATGAAACATCAATTAAAAATCACACAACATATCAAAATTTTCGTCGACGATCTTTACTTATACCAACACCTGTAGAAAGCAGACAGTAAGATGATTGTACTGTTTGTTTATTTATTCTATTTTATTAAAAACAAAATATTTACATGCAAATAATCCATATTTGCTTCAATTATATTCATTAATATATTATCTTCTTTTTTTTTTCCTTCTTTTATTCAATCAATATTTCCAGTGAAAATCGAAAAATATCAAGTCCGAAAAGTTCAAAATCAGATCATAGTGACAATGAACATGAGGATATACAAAATGATATGTATGCATATTTGTTGCTTATATACTGTTTGTCTATTTTAATATCGTTTTATTTGTGTGTATATAACCCTTTCCTCATACTAGTTCATTGGATTTGATATTGTCATAATTTTATGATACTATCTAATAGAACTAGAATATATATCTGTTGCTCTGTTTTTGGCTCTATTATCTGCATCTCCTTATTATGTGTCTAGTAGTCAAATTTTTACACGATCATCATCAATCGGTTCGACATCATATCCTGATTCTTCTAATACAACACAAGAAGAAACATTAAGATTAAAACAAGAACCTACAACAAGTATTGATTCGAGTGCGTCATCCATATTATCAATAAAATATCAAAGGAAAAGAGCTCGATCAAATTTATCAACACATTCAAAAACTCAAGAAACAGTTGTTACAGAACCATTT